AAAAGAATTTGGCCACATATCGGCCCAAGTTGTCCATGCAGTACAAAAAACAGTTGTTGACCAGTTCCGTAAAGTAGAAAGTAAAATTGCAGGGTTTGAAGAGTGCCTTATCAAAAATCCGGTAGGCATTTAATTTTTTTTTATCTAAGCTCTATTTCTTGTTATGTTGCTCTACCTGTGAAATTTTGATCCAATTCAAATTTATTTTTCTATTCAGCAATAATTGAGGAGTTGCAGTCCACTATTACATGTGCTTTTAATAAAATGGAGAATATGGTTCAGGAAGATGTTGACAAGAAGAATGATCTAATACCTACAGCCATTAGTATTAGTGCTGAGTTCAAAAAGCTTGAAAAATGGTGGCAGATGTCATTGCGACCTCAACAAGATGCAGGTAGGGAGATTTCGCATTTCCCTCAGCTCTATTATTAATTTTGTTTCTCTATTACTAAAATTCTGATCTAATGCAAATTTTTTTACCAGCTGCCCGCAGAGGCAACAGGCTTCCTCGATGATGAAAGTATACTGCAGCTTGTACAGCTTTTGTCTTTGTTTTCATCTGTATCTCTTACATGTTTTTCATTATTTCAGACCACTGTAACCGAGGTGCCCTCTTATTCTCAAGGAGATGATTCCCAGGGGGAATCAGGCAATGATAGTGGTTGCTTTATCAGTAAAGATGTAAGGAATAATGAAATCCATTGTGATTTTTGTTACTCTTGCCTTGGCAAGTAACTGTTAGTCAATTCTATCCTACTACTTATTCTTTTGCAGGATAACATTGTCGAGAAACAGAATACTGTACAGCTTTCTAGTCTCGCTGAACTTAAGGTATGACATCACTGCTACTGTATATCTGTTAATTATCTAACCAGACTTAGCTGGTAAATTAAAGGGTATTCTCTGTCTGCTCCAGAAAAAGATCGACGCAAGAGCTAACAAACAAGATGAGCAGAGACCAGGAACATCTACTCTAAGACTAGTGAGTTAATGCATAAGAATTTGAATCTGAGCATGTTTTAAAAAATGTTGGTGCTAATTCCTTTTTTATTACTAGGCACCAAAGAGGAAGGCAGGGTCTGCTCAAAATGATCATAATGATCAGGATGACCCGCCACCAAAACAAACAAAGTGAAGTTTCTTCTAGTTCCTTGTCCAGTGCGCATGTTTATAGGTGAACAGCTTGCTTAAGCTACCACTTGCATTGAGCAAATGATGATTAACTTTAAGATTTGCAGGCCACAAACAGGCTTACTCTCAGCAGCCGGACCACAAGACAACAGAAACCCAACCGACAAAAATAATCAGGTACCTAGTGGACATTTTCAGAGCTGTCAACTAAAAGGATATTTTGCAAACTTGATTTCCATGAATTCAATAATCAATTATGTACTTTTGCTCTTGCAGGAACCCACAGAGGACGAAAGTAAGTTCAATTTTTCCGTGAAGCAGACATTTGACAAAGATGGGTTAGTTATACATTGTTACTCTCATTTCAGTGTGTGCAATCTGCCTCGGACCGAAGAAAGACAAAATGACATTAGACTCATTTTGTAAAATTTGTATCAAAAAGTGGATTGACTTCGCAGGGAATTGCCCCATCTGCAAACGTGATGTGGACGTTTGCGAAGTTCCTTTCTGACTTGTTTCAAAGTGCAATTATCAGTTTCAATTATTGTATTTTTTAAAATTATTTTAGACCTTTTAAAATGGGTTAATTACCTTGAACTATTGTTTAGATGTTGAAGTATTCGAATCAAGTAATGTACATCTTGATATATTTTTTAATTGTGCATTTGCTAATATTCATTTTTGCTAAAATTTGATACGTTGAATTGTAATTAAAAGTTTATGGAAACTTTGGAGCGAGTGGATCTTACTTCAAACCCGCTCCCCCCATTTCTGCAGTCAGTAATGGAGAGTTAATAAATCAGAACTCGACTCATGGATGAACAGAAAGTTAAGCAGATGGTGACAAAGGAAACAGTAAAATAGACATGGGTATTGTAATGTATCCAAACCCCGCTGTCAATTTACACATGGACGTTGTGACAGTGATTCTATAATGAGACCTTAATGCAGATCTGTAAATCCCGTACACAAACCTTTTAATAACAGAACTTAAATGTCTGTTATGACATGCTATTTAAAACATGAAGATGAGTCAAATTGACCATTCTGTTGTCCCTTACTAAATGACCTGCCCAAGTAACAGAGATCGGTCACGAAAACGTCAAAATGACGTCCTTTTTCGTGTCAGCGACCGAGGTCACAAATACGTGTTTTATGATTCTCGGCCTGACGTGCAAAAAACGTCAAAATGACGTTTAAATGACGTAAACGTCATTTTGACGTTAGATTGACGTCACGTCATTTTGGCATCCAGGAATTACGTGCACCATCGCGCCAATATAATTGTAAAATATATTGCTCCATTTCGATTACTTCATTTTTCAATCAAATAGCAGAGGGTGTTGAGGGAAAGATATACAAAGACAATGAATTACGGTATATGCATTTAATCAATGCCAAGTCTTACCTTACTAACAAAAAATAAATCTTACAAGGCGTTAACAAGAGATAACTAGTCTTGGACCATTCATAAGGTCACCATTATTCAATGCCTATCTTACTAACAAAAAATAAATCTTACAAAGCGTTAACAAGAATTAACCCAATTTAGACCATTATAAGGTCACCAAAAAAATATCAGTCTTAACAGAAGAGCAGTCATAATAACAAAAAAAATCACAGATGCTTTGTACATATTTGGTATGTATACAGTATTTATACATATAAAGAAAAATAACTAAACAAAAAATAGATGAATCAGTCCGAGTCTTCATCTGGTTCACTCTCAACCTCAGTGCCAGAACTAGCTGAATTGGCACTATCTTCAGAACTCTCATCATGTTCTGCAAGACTTGAACTTGTTTTCTTTTGAAGACTGACTATGAAAAACCTCTTTATGGCACCATTGAGAGCACACAGGTCTGTGGCCGAGTCCCACAACTTTGTTGCTACACCTAGAAAATACAGGATCTTAGAAAAACAGAAACAAATATACACGGGTATAAACAAGAAGTAACAGAAAAATAACTCACATTGAATCAGCTCCACACACTGGGTTCCATATATGGCATACTTAGTGCCATGTGTTCCCTTCCAGGATATGGCACAACATAACGAAGGCTTGAACAATGCATTCAATGCCGCTTTGGCACAGGCTTGCTCCGTATGAGTGTGTTTAACTTTGCAAAACAGATAGTTTACCTAGTAACAAAATAAAAAGAAATGAAGTATGTAATTAAAAGATCACTCCTATGACTGATGTATATACTACCAACCATGATGCCAAAGTTCTCCGCATTTGACAGATAATCCTCCAGCTGCTTCAAGTGTTCATAGTTGCTAATAGGAAGTTTGGGAAGACCTGAGGGTTGACGTATTGCTGCCTCCTCAGGAAATAATTTATTCATAATTCTGCGCAACATCCCTTTGACCTCCTCAAGCTGAATTGAATTCTCTTGCAGTAATTGATTATTTAAAGATGCTTCAACAGACTTTTTGGGTTTTGAGCGCACAGCTGTAATATTCAATAACTTAATTATTGTTATCACTTTGAAAATAATGGCTACCCTATGATGTGCCTTACCTTTCCCTTGTTTTTGAACCTTAGGAGATTTGGAGATTCTACCTGATGGTTCTCCA